CGGCCAGTAGACCGGCAGATCTGATATCATCGCCACTGTGGTGGAATTCGCATGAGCGTCGCGAAATGTATTTCAAAGCATTTCGCGACATAACTGTAAATGCATTTCAATACATCTTTACAGTTATGTCGCGAGATGCTTTTAAATACATTTCGCGACGCTCATGCATTGAATTTCGAGGGCGCGGAAATCAATACACATTTTCGCTACATGAATAACCCCATTAGGTTTCCAAATAGTCTAAAATTCCAGAAACATCTTCAAACTACTCATAATATTTCCCACAGACAGTTGATCACTTTCGCAGCCGACATCGCATCTGGAATGAAACACATGGCCCAGAGAAGAGTTATCCACCGAGATCTAGCAGCCAGAAATTGTCTAATAACCAATTCTTTGAAAATCAAAATCTCTGATTTTGGATTATCCCATTCTGGACAAGAAGTGATTGTAAAGAAATTGAAAAAAGCACCTATTAGATGGCTGGCTCCTGAAACCCTCCAGAAAGGAATCTTCAATGAAAAGACAGATGTTTGGTCTTATGGAGTATTGTTGACTGAAATAATCAATAGATGTGCAACTGATCCCTTGGCTCCAAGAACACTAAAAGAAGTGCAGGAATGGATCAAAGAATCAGATCATCCACATCGGATAAAGAATGGAGAACCCAAGGAATTGGCGGATCTGGTCGATATTTGTTGCGACAAAGTGAGTTTAGAAATTCGTCTATTTCTGATTATGAGATAAAATGTTCAGAATTCAATTACTCGGCCAAATTTTCAAACTGTTCGACGTCGTATCAGAGCGATTCTCGAAACGGCAAACATGCTTGGACCAATTTCAGGCACCCTGGAAATGGTGATTGCTCATCTATCTAACTTTAAGTCAACATTATTTATTCTAGAAAAAGTCAGAAGAGCGAAAGAGCAGTACATCCACAGATAGGAAAGTATCAAATACAGCACTGATGCGGAAAAAGTCTAGAGATGGAAAAGTAAAGGATAGATCCACGGAACGAAAAGGTGGTACCCAGAGAAGAATTGTTTCTCATCGTCGCAGAGAAATAGGTCCAATGAAACTTCCAATCGGAATGAGTACACCTGAAAAAGTATCACCTCAAAATATGACATCACCGGCAACGCCCCCGATACCAAAGACATAACTTTTTTCTTGATTTACATAAATGTATTGTTTCAACTTTATTCTTCTTTTCTTTTTCTCAAATCCAGGATGTTCAATTTTAACAGATTAAGAAAATTATTTAGAGTAGAATATTCTCTTCTGGCTTCCATCGTTACTATTATTCAAACATTCTGTGATTATCTGCCATCCCACAAAAAATGTAATTCGTATGAATGATGTGATCAAAACACGCATTTCTTTATAGCTGATTCTAAATTGAAAACAAAGTTATTTCTAATCAAATCAATTAATAAATTCTCTACGGCATCTAAATTTTAAAGATTGTGATTTTTATTAATTCGAAATTTGTAGAATTTTGAAAAGTAGGATTTCCTGGAGTTTTTAGGAAGATGTGAAAAGAAAGAAGATGTAACTCTCACAAAAAAAGAAGATGTAACTCTCACAAATTAAGATGTCATGCAAAATTTGAAAACACTGATGTTCCGAGAAATACAAATATTCAAAAAAAAACCATATATTCAAAAGCTCCAAGCTATTCATGAATATCCCATTTTCTAAATTTCTTCAAAAGATTTTCCCCAAACTCATCAGAGTTTCTGAGTGCCTGATCTTCTTGGAACTTTTGACTTTTTCTTTTGGATCCTTGGAAGTTCTGCGGTAATACCAAAATCTCGCAATTTCGGATTCCTAATACTTCTGAATCTCGTATATAAAAAAATCAACAACATATCTTAGCAAAAAAAAACTAGTTAATAAAATCTCATGACTATTGAAAAATTCCGGAATTCCTAGAACATCTTTGATATCTCTCATGCATTTTAAAATTTTAAAATTAGAACAATTTTTTCAGTATTTTTTTGGAATCTTCAACTTAAAAAACACCATTAAAATTACTAGTTTGTTTAAATAAGAAAAACAAATGACAATAAATATTGAGCATGTGACAGTCTCGACATTCTCATCTCTTTTTTGTGATACGTCAAACTACTGACACCTAGGTAAACACAGGGATAGTGGTCTCGAAATATCTTTGAATTGAGTTTCTGGGTTGCCCAGAAAATAAATGTCTCAAAATAGACCTATTTTTGGTGTTGGTTTAAATTTGACGCATGTATTACTGTATCCAGAAAAGTCTTATTAGTTTCCGAAAGTTTCCGAAAGTTATTCAGGGATTTAATTTTTTCTGTTTCTCCCTTGAAATCCGTGTAGGTCTTGATTTCATTGTATTTCTTTCAAATTTTGATTGTTATTAATTCTAGTCATAGTTCCTTTTGAAAGGAAAAACATTTTGCTTCATTTTTTTCTTTCACAAATAACTTTTGTGAGAACAAATTTTCTAACTACAGGTTTCCGATACCCAGTCATAATACCTTATTGTCCATTGCGTACATCTGCACGAGCACCTGCATGAGAGACATGAGAGAACTTCTAGGAATTTTCCAATAGTCATGAGATCTAATTAACTGGCTATTAGTTAAGATCCGTTGTTGTTTTTTCTTTTCTCACGATATGAAGGCATTCCATTATGCCCAGATATGTATAACTTGGTTTCTTTCAATATTGTATTTAGCTTTGTTATATTAGATCTAGAGCGAAAAGTTTGGAACAAAATCTGTTCGTTTCACTGTCTATATCTTCACAATTGCTTCTCTTGTCAGCTCAGCATGTCGATCCCAACCTTTCTTCAACTTTTCAGCACGTGAGGAGAGTGCGTGTTTCCTCCCTTCCTCCTCTTCACAGCAGTCTTCTCGATTCGAATCGACGCGCTCTTTGTACTTCTGCGTCTCCTCCTTTTCCACACTCTCTTGTGTTCGTTCTCCTTGCGTTCAAATTGTTGGGCACATCGAAGAGCGCTAATGCATAGTGGTTGTGAGTGGTGCTGTCCCATTTTTGTACGTTTTTTTTCGATTTAGTGTTTTTTTTTGTTTTTCTTATTTAATTCCCGATCTAAATTTCACGTGAAAAACCTGTTTTTAGGTCGCTTTTCTAATCTTTATTACCCATTTCTACTGCCTCTCGCCCTGTCTTACACTTTGAACTCTTCTTTTAAGTAGTGTTTATTGTTTTAGAAGTGAGTAGTCTAATTGAACTGAAAAGAAACACTAAGGAATTCGTATAGTTGCGAAATTCTCAGTAATTCAGCAAACCAGCAAAACACCCTTGGTTTTTTTTGCGTTTCCCCCTCAAGTCAACGTTGCTCTAAACTTTATTGATACATTTGCTTATTTTTCATAAATGTTTCGGTCGTTTTGTTTCGATAAAAGGGAAATCGTAAATCAGGTGAAAGGCGACCGAAAGAAAATCGGTCTCATTTCCCTTTTGTTCTTTCTGCTTCTCGTTCTAAATTGTTCATGTCGTCAAAATGGAATTTTTGCGAACGTCTGAGATTTTCACATCTGATATTGAGAAATATCTTGAGTTGAGTATCCGCTATACTATTCAGTTGTAGAAGTATTTTAATGAGTTTTTTCTGCCTTAGAAAAAAACACTTTCAAGTTGTTTTCAATCATAATAATCACCACCTATTTGTGTGCTCGTCACCAACTCAACTGTTTTTTACATCTTTCAATTTTTTTTCGAATACCAATCTTTTTGAAAAATTCGCTTCCGTTTTTTTTGTTAAATTCATTTGATGCTTCATTTTTTCTTATTCTTCGATTTTACGAGGTCATGTTGTAACATTGTCGCCACCGAAATGAAATCGAAGACACTCTCGAGAAAAAAGACTTTCGACCTCAAAACAGATCTTTGCCGCTTCACCAATTTCTAAAGAGTTCATAATGAAACATAAATCAACCCGTAATTTGAGTCCCCTCACAGCTCTCAACACAGAAGAAAACGATTTCCGTCAACCTGTTTTCAATATGTCACATGTGTTTGTGCTTTTTCACTCAACCTTCGAACATTAATCTCTTCTTCGAGATTTTTTTTCTCTTTTGAACGACTCATCCTCATCAGAACTAACTTCTATTTCGAAACCGCAATTTTTCCTCATCGAAATACCGTAACAGCTGAATAAATGGACTTTGTCCCCTATCTGTTAAATTTTATCCCTATTTTTTATCATTAGATTAGTGTCACTGACCCTTTATAAGGCCTTCTTTGATCACACCGATCACACGGACAGCGTGAATGTTTTGGTAAAGTGACAAGATTTATTGAGACACAGTCTCTTGGCTCCTGGTGAATGTTTTCACTTGGATGTTTTTGAGATCAGTCAAAAACAATCTATATTTGTTTTGAACAATTCCCTCTCGTATTCGTTTCTTCTATTTCTTAAACTTTCTGAAAAAAGTCTCTAATTTTAATTTAATTCCTCCCAATTTTAATTTTCAGTCAAAATAGTTGCGAATGGCACAGTACGCCCTGGAGGCGGGTGTCAGCTGGCTCGCCACCTCCGTTTCAGTAGTAGCTAGCGGGACGTGGCAGTTTGCCAAATGGTCACACAGATATATAATGCAAGAAGCAGAAGAGCTAGAAGAAGAGGCAGAAGAATCGCATTTCCAACAGATGATCGACAAAGAGAAGGCGTTTCATAACTATGTGCGACAGCAAATCGTAAGTTATAACTCTAATTTTTGGATGTATTTTTAGTATATACCTTATTTCAGATCTGTATGTGGCTCTTCATGTTGCTATATTTGTTCGCCTACTGGTTGATTTCAAGATTAAAACGAAAAACTGAACGAGAAGCATTGTATGCAGGAGAAGAAGATTACTTCGTATACCGAGTATCGTAAGTATTTACTATACTTGAGAATCTAAAATCATAAAAATTATTCCAGAGTTTGGATCAGCAGTACGGCGACAGCAACATCGATAGGATCACTAACGCTACTACCGTTTTCAGTGATTGGCGTAGAAATGTTACAATTGTACGATGGGAACTACTACCTTCAGTGGTTGTCGTATTCCTTGATCGGAGCACTTTGGAATTATGTGTTTGTACTTTCCAATGTGTCTCTGTTCGTACTTCTGCCATTCTCCTACTTTTTCATCGAGTCTCAAGGATTTTCCTCGTCTAATCTGGGGAATGTAAGTTTTATTAAATCAGTTTATTTCTCCCAACAATTGAACAGTTTCAGTGCACGACTCAGCGAATTTATGAAGCAATGGCAATCTCATTTCTATTCGCTTTCGTTCTACTTTGCCTGGCTGAAATCGTGCTCACAATCCTGGACTACCCAGTTTCCTTCCTTTCCATCACATCTGTCAACCTCCCACTCATCTATTCGTGCGTTAGTTTTATTGGAGCTGTACTGTTGTTGATATCAACGCCGTATGGATTTGCCAAGATGTTCTCGCTGGCGAGAGAATTTTTGGTCGTTGATGGGGAAGTCGTTGAAGAAGAATTAGCTTCAAGCCCAAATGAAGTTACACCCGAGCCATCTGAAAACGCTTTTATGATAAATTCGAAACCATCAGATTCCGAAGAAACATTGAGCGCTCCAATATCTGATGAAGTTGTAACAGATGTGGTTGAAGAATTTCGAAAGGATAGTGATAGCGGAATCGAGTCCGGATCCACAGAAGAAATGCGGCTAAATACAGACGACGAGGATGAGATTGAAATAATAAATCCGGAAGTTGACCCGTCAGAATGTGGTGATGTAGGAAATACAACTCCAACAAAACCGAAAAGACGTCGATGGAGGCATGACTATGCGTCGAGTCCAGTTGTTCGGAAATGGGAAGAACCAAAGAAATTGCCGAATCCAAACTTTGACTATAGAAATTTCAATGATTACGTCAGAGCGGCTCGTCGTCAACGATCATCCTTTTCAGAATCGGATGATTTTTGGGTTGGATCGCCAACTAGGAACACATTTTCAAACAATTATTTTTCTTCAAGGTTTGTTTTTTGGAAATTATGAAAAACTTTACAGTAAATATTTCAATTCAGATTTTCTCGATGTGAACATGGTTCAGAGATGTGTCTCAATCCGTCTACTTCACTTGCTGTAGATCCATTCGCTTCTGGAGATTCTCATGAAGCCACATCTTCCGAGGCATCGACATCCAATCAAATTTCTCCGAATCGTCTATCGAAATCAGAAGAGGCAATTTGGAAACCAGTGATCCACACCGTCAAGTCCTCCAAGTTGTATAAAAGAGCAATCGAGAAACAAGGAAGACTTTTGAAACTTTTTATGAGACTCCGATATCCAGTGGCGATCGCTATTTTATTAGCTTTAACCACTTGTTCTCTGATAATGGTAGCGATCAACACATTGAAACTTCTGTTTGGATATCGCAGTCTTCCAGTTTATGCCCAATACATTGAGGTAAGCCGTGGTTTATCATCCATGAAAACGTGATTATTTTTTAGGTACATACCCGTCACTCATTCGGTTTGTTTGGTGCTTGTATCGAAACCCTCATAATCATTTATGTTATGCTGACTTCTTTTGTTGGTCTGTACTCCTTACCAGTTCTACGGTCGCTACGCCCAGTCCGCAAAGACACCCCAATGCCGACAATAATCATCAATTCTTCAATAGTTCTCGTTGTTGCCTCAGCCCTGCCTGTCGCTGTCAACACCATTGGAATGACTACATTTGACCTTCTCGGTTCTCAATCATCTCTTCAATGGCTCAGTTCATTCCGAGTGGTTGTTGCGTACAACACAATGTTCGTCGTGCTGTCAGTAGCATTTTTGTTCAATCAGTTGACTGCTTCAATGAGAAGGCAGATCTGGAAATGGTATAGAGAAAAAGGTTTTTTTTCAAAATTATTCCGTTTTTTTTTCAGGATTTGCAATTTGCGATGTGGACGGTGCACAGACGATTCTGACGACACGATGGTTATCCTCGGAGGCAACGATAAGAAAAATAATTGAATAATTTTTCCTACACTCATTTTCTACACTTCTTAACCACTTTCATTTTTTTTACTATTTTCCTTCTCTCTTGAAACAAGGTCCCTAATTTTTCTGTCGGGTTTTCCTTTTTTTCTCTAATAATTCAGCACCATCGATTTTTGCCAACTATCATCTTTACTTGTCCGTTTCTCCCCTCTTTTCTCCTTACCATGTTTTCTTTTCGAAAGTATTTCGCCCAGTCAAAAAGCACTTCTCGTCATTTTCATTAGCTTTACAAACCTCTACAAAAACTGAATTTTCGTCATTTTTCCTTTGGAGCTTTTAGAAATTCTAGTTTTTCGACTGTTTTTATATGTACCATAATCTTTCTGCAATTTTCGGTCAGCAATCATTTACATCTTTATCGCATTGTTCTTATCGTGTAGAATAATTGAAATACACCACTTCTTCTCTTTCCTGAAAAGTTTTATGTTTTGTACTTCGAATCTTTAGGTTCAGTGAGAATCCGACGTTCTGTATCTAACATCTGCTGAGTGTGTGAATCTACTAATTCTATTATTAGATAATGGATCAACCTATTGACTTGGATAGCGACGAACAATTGAGTAACGATACATCCGATGGAAGTGCGATCGTTCGTGAACCAGATGTTCGTTTTCAATATTAACTGAACTTTCCTTATCCGTTTACGAAATTTTAGACAGTAGATTTGACGATGGACGATGATGACGATGTGGAGAACATCGATGATGAGATTGTGAGTGACCACGAATCAGATGACGAGAATCCTATTGAAATCGTGAACGCATTCATGAACATTGTGCAAAATGGGAATCATGTCGCGAATGGAGAAGTTGAAATTCTAGATGATGTCAGTTCGCATCTTATCTCAAATATTTAAATAGTTGGTTCGCTTTGCAGGTTGAACTTATTGTCGAGGGCACCAATCAAAAAACAGAAGAGGGGATGATAGAAGAACACAAAACAATTTCGAATCGTCTTCTGTCGTGGTTCAAGAGACTCAAACCAGAACATTTCAAAGATTTCGGAATCGGTGGAAACGACTACTTGACAGAATACGTTAATGACGAACTACTGTTCCCTTTAGAAAAATGTAAAGATGCTGCGAAACAGTTTAAGGAAAGCGGTAGTTTGACTGGTCTTGTGGAAAAATGCAAATTTGAAAATGAAGATTCACTGATCGCTGGTATTTGTATGGGAATCTTGGATGGTGAGTAAAGTTTCAGAAATAGCGATTTCAACAAAGTTTCCATTTTCAGACAACAATTCTCTTGATGTGGATTTTTCGGTTCTCGCCGAGGATCGTTTCGATAACTGGAGTATTAAACAACTCGAACTTTATTTCAATAAAGTTGCTGCTGAAGGAATAGATGCCAGCCCTTTGAAATTCATGCAGCTCACACTATCATCCCCAGCAAATGCCATCCTGTTGCTAACCTATTATTTCATGCTGACAAATAAGTTCACTTCACGAATTGAAGAACAAGAAAGTTCTGAAAACTCATTGGAAGAATTGGATGACCGCGAAATTTACCAGAGAATTGTGGATGCGTCTGCTCATCATTGGCAACATAACAAATCTTCTGTTAAGCGAGATGCTCAAATCAATAGGTGAGTTTAAGATTGGATGATTATCAATATTCAAGATTATTTGAACAGAGATCTAAACGAATTCTTCCACGAGATTGAAGCTACTACTGTAGAAATGGAAGAACAATTTGAAAACACTGTTGGTCAACGCTCGGAAATAATTTCGCTCATCAGAGAGAAAGTTCCGCGACTTGAAACTCCCAGCGAGCTCAACTTACAAATTATGACCAAGGAGGCACGTGACGAGCTGGTTTGTTCTCGCGCCGCAATGGAACTTTTGAAGAACCAGACTATGAACGCTGTGAGAGAAGCGAGAAAAGTATACCAGGGAAAAACCCTTCTCGAAAAACATCATGCCCTGAAACCTGGAGATTTCTGCATGGCTCGCATGCTCAACACAGACACCGCCGACTTGAAGCATGCAATTGTTGAACAAATTTTAAGTGCGGAAAAGTACAGGGTCAAGTTTCTCCATAACAATGAAACTGCCGATCGTCACGTTAGAGATTTGGCTCTCACTAATCACGGTCTATGTAGTCCACTATACAACGGCTTCGGTGACGTAGGTAAATTCGATTATTTGGAAAATTAACTCCAATATGTTTTTTTATATTTCAGGTCTTCGTGTGGCTGTTTGCTGCCCTCTGAATACCGGTCAATACAGCAAAACATGGATATGGAAAACCGGTACAACTGCAAGCCGTCGCAGTGGCCATAGGGGAGACTTCCTGGTGTTCCTGGATGATGGATCAGATGTCTACGTAACAGCACCATGCAAGGCTGGTGACCCGGGATACAGTACTGTTGTAGCGAAGAAAGAAGGTGCTCCTTCACTTTTCAAGACGTTCTGACCAGAATGAAAGCTGCACGAATCGCAGTAATGGTTGGTCAGCCGTTCGGAGAAAGTGGAAGAATAGAACGACAACTTGTTCATCGATGGGTTCGGGAAAGACATCGAAGTCACTTCATTAAAACCTATATGAAAGACTTCCCGGAATTCCAAGTTCTCAAAATGCCTATCGGATTCCGAACGACGATGACCAAGCTTCCGCCAGACAATAAAGAAAAACATCTTATTACTGTTGTCGGACTGGATAGAGTGTTCGCAATTGTCCGATATCAGACCCCCAGTGGTGCCCCCGGATACAACTGCTTCGAATATCCATGTAAAGATTCGACCCATTATCATATGGATGAGCACGTCTACAGAGGTTCTTCGAGAATCACACAAGTCTCGGTAGGTTCTTTTATGCTTTAACCTTCTTTACCTTTAATCCACTATAACTATATTTTTACAGTCAATGCGCGAAATGATGACACAAGTCAACAACAATCTTTCGAAACGTAAGAAGGATCAACTGGCTTCGCAGTTCGAATTATCTGAGTCCGTCAAAACGATGCCACAAAGATCAACGAACCAAGCATTGCAAACAAGTGTTCCCTCAATAAGAACGAATGCGAACAAAGAGAATCAAGTCAAACAGAAAGCGTTGACTGTAGCTGAAATTGAGAAAAAGAAGAAAAATCAACTTCTGTTTCACAAAACCGTCGTGCCCACACCGAATATCTCAAAAGAAAAGCGTGCTCCTCATTCGCAATGCGGACCGGACTGTCTTCAAAAATTGGACGCCAACCCATACGATGCACGTTTCCACACTAATTCTCCTCTTCACACTCCGCTTCTTTGTGGCTGGAAACGTCTGAAATACACGATGCACAGTGGAAAGAAACGTGCGAGTGTCAAAAAAGTGATCATCTATCGTGCTCCATGTGGAAAACCACTCGAAAAGACATCTGAAATCGCCGACTATTTGCGCAGCACCAGAAGTCAATTGACCATCGACTGTTTCTCTTTTGCACCAGACGTTGACACGGAAACATACATTACTGTGGACCAAAAGTATGTCAGAATGAGTGATATTTCTGTGGGACTGGAAGGGATCCCTATTCCTCTCGTCAACTCTGTCGATTCTGATCCGAATCCGGTTCTCGAGTACTGTAAACGGCGATTCCCCTACAACGCCAGTGTGGATGTTTCTAGTATTTCACAAGATTTTTGTTCTGGGTGCTCGTGCGATGGAGATTGTAGTAACAGTTTGACCTGTGAATGTCAGAAATTATCAGCAGAAGCATCAGATAAACTTCCGAAACATTTGAAATTCGAGGATAACAAGAGATTGTAAGAATTCCAAACTATAATTCAGTCTCCAATATTTCCTTTCAGAGCATCTACCTATTCTCAACGAGTTCTCACTAACAAGGTTATCACTGGAATTTATGAGTGTAATGACAAATGTTCTTGCAAACGAGATGCTTGTCATAATAGAGTGGTCCAGAACAATATCAAATATCCAGTTCATGTATGTGAACTTACATTGGAACTCTTCCACTGCCTTTTACATTCCAAAAGTGTATATTTTCAGATCTTCAAAACTGCTCAATCTGGTTGGGGCCTGCGAGCTCTCACAGATATTCCGATTGGTGCTTTCGTTTGCACGTATGTTGGTGCTCTTCTCACCAACGATTTGGCAGAAGATCAGCACGGCAGCGATCAGTACTTTGCCGATTTGGATTTGAAAGATGGCGTAGAAATGGCTAAAGGAGATGAAGATCATGAAACTGACTTGGGCCTTGGTGATGAAGTATCAGATGGGGATTTCACAGACGAAGACGATAATGATTCTGATGATGACGATAATAATGACTCAACAGTGCAGCACAGGGTCAAAATAGGAAACAGAAAACATGAAACAAGAAGAAACAGCCAAGAAGACAAGCTACAGCATACAGAAATTAACGGAGAAAATGGGAAAAAGGAGGAAGAAACTGAAAAGAAAGAGGAGCCGGTATTCAATTGGGATGATTATTTTGATAAATTCGCTTTGTATGTTGTTGATGCGAAGAACAGAGGAAATCTGGGAAGGTGAGCATGAAACTAAAAGTGTCAAAGACAAGAACCAATTTCAGATTCCTTAATCACTCCTGCGCCCCAAATTGCGTCGTCCAGCACGTCCTTTACGATACACACGATCTTCGCCTACCATGGGTCGCATTCTTCACAATTAAAACTATCAAAGCTGGTGATGAGCTTACATGGGACTATCAGTACACAGAACTCAATTCGGAAACATCCCGTCTTTCCTGTAACTGTGGTTCTGAAGTCTGTCGTCATCGCCTTCTTTAATTATTTATTTTTGATGCATTTGAATCTTTTTGAATTTTGTATTACCTCTGTTATATATGATCTTTTCTAATGCATCAATTTTACGGTGAACAATGTTATAACTACGAATCTCTCTGTCAATTCTCAGTTATCCAGATAAGTTCATGAATATTAACAAGTAATTTCGATTTTCTTATTTTCATCCAGGACTGTCTAGTTATCACCAGATAAGCGTACATGTTTAAGTATACCGTAAAAACTGTAATATAACGCCACCTGTATTAGAAGACCCCCTTTAATAGACAAAGTTTTTATGCTTGATTAACACAGTAACAGTGGAATCTAGAAATTTTGCATCATTTTTTCATTTTGGCACCCTGTTAAACAAGTAAAAAATCAAATTTTGTTACCTCGCATCAACCCAAAACACCCCTTTAAAAAATAGAACGCCATGGCGCTATATTACAGGTTTTACGGTATGTACATTACCTGATGTACTCCTGAATCAAATTATAGATACAGAAAACAGATGTTTCGGATTCGGGTTCTACGTCACGTTGTACGCTTCGCCTCATCGAGTAGTACCGTAGCTTCGAAGAGGTTGACTCGTCATTTCTGTTCACAAACTCTATCGACCAGTTTGTCTTCTGGTGATTTCAAATTAAGTGCTCCAAAACTTAAAAACCTTTTCAGAAGCAGCGGCAAAGTATGAAAAGAAAAGTCCAACTGAGCATGTGCTGCTCAGACCTGACACATATATTGGCGGTGTTGCAATGAGAGAATCTCAATTTGTCTGGATTCGAAATTCGGAAACAAGAAGAATGTTTACAAAAGAAGTATCGTATCCACCCGGACTTTTGAAAATTTTCGACGAAATTTTAGTGAACGCAGCTGATAATAAATCAAGAGATCCTAGTATGAATCGATTGGAAGTCTGGCTTGATAGGTATTCTATTGTTAAAATTTTCAAAGCATCCGTAAAATGTGCTGAAATTAAAGAGAGACATCTCGAATCGCTGTTTGGAATAATGGAAGTGCTCTTCCTGTTGAAATCCACCCGACAGAAGGAGTCTATGTGCCAACTCTCGTTTTTGGAAGTCTGTTCACTTCATCGAATTATGACGATAACGAAATCAGAACAGTAGGAGGAAGGAACGGTTACGGTGCCAAGCTCTGTAATATTTTCTCCGATGAGTTCGTGGTAGAAGCAGTGGATTCTCGAACGAAAAGGAAGTTCAAACAAGTAAATAAACACCCAAATATTCAAAACTGAAAACTATAAATTGAAATTTTAGAGATGGTACCATAACATGAGAGAATTCGACGAAGCTGTAATTGAGGATCTCACAAACCAGCAGCTTTCAGACTATACGAAAGTAGAATTCGTTCCTGATCTCAAACGATTCCACATCGATAAACTATCTGAAGATATTATTGATCTTATTGGTAAACGAGTCTTTGAAGTAGCTGCAACTCTTCCAAGTGATGTTCAAGTATTTTTCAATGGACAAAAATGCGATGTCGATGGATTCGAAGACTACGTCAGAATGTTCAATGATTCTAATCCTTCCTCTTTCCTGTTCCTCCATCCAACATCTCGCTGGCATGTAGGCGTGGCTAAAAGGAATACATTTTCTGGAGAGGGTATTGTAACACTTCCAAAGGTTGTCAGTTTTGTAAACAATATCAATACTGAAAAGGGAGGAAGCCATGTGGATTATGTGATGGATAAGATAGTGAATGTTATGAAACCACTAGTGGATTCGAGGCTTGGCGACCCATCAAAAAGTGTGAAACCAGCAACAATCAAAAATAATATATCCCTGTTTATCAATTGTTTGATTGAAAATCCATCATTCGAAAGTCAAACTAAAGAGACGGTTACCACAAAACCGAAGCAATTTGGATCAAGTTTTGATTGTGATTCTGAAGTTTGTGTTCAAAATTAATGGAGTGAAATGCATGTTTTTTTTTAATTTTCAGAAAATTTCAAAATGGGCGGAAACGAGTGGTTTGCTAGATGAAATTGTTGATGAAGTTCTCAATACGAAAAAGAAAAAGATATCCTCGAAACGAGCAAATTCTTCTTCAGTTAGAGATATTGTAAAATTGGAAGATGCAGAATGGGCTGGAGTACCGGGGAAATCAGAAAAGTGTACTCTAATTTTGACGGAAGGTGATTCTGCAAAAGCCCTCGCTCTCGCTGGTTTAGAAATTCTTGGACGTCAAACCTACGGAGTTTTCCCGCTGAAAGGAAAACTAGTGAACGTTTCGAATCTAGATGATATTCGGGCTTCCAAAAATGAAGAAATCGGAAAAATTGTCCGGATCCTTGGATTGAATTTCAATGAGCCAACTCCTTCAAAAGAATCGATTCGCTATGGACGTCTTCTGATTCTGACAGATCAAGATGAAGACGGAAGTCATATCAAAGGGCTTGTCATCAATTTCATTCATAAGTTTTGGCCCAGTCTAATTCAATCCGGAGAATTTATCAAATCGTTTCGAACTCCTCTTCTGAAAGCGAAAAAAGGAAATGAGGTCGTGCCATTTTTCTCTTTGAATGAATATCGAAAATGGGCGGAGACAATAGAAGGAAAATGGAAAGTCAAGTACTACAAGGGACTAGGAACGTCGACTTCGAATGAGGCAAGAGAATATTTCAGGAATTTGGATCATCATACTGTCAAGTGAATTATATTGAAAGTTCTATATAAAATTGGTTTTTTCAGTTTCAACTATGCCGGATCAAGTGACGACGACGCTATTCGCATGGCTTTTGATCGAGAGAAAAGTGATGAAAGAAAACGTTGGATACGGGGGTCAGACGAAGTCTCGACAACTGAAGATGTTGAAAAAACAGAGCTAAATTATGAAGAGTTTGTTAACAGCCAATTGATGCAATTTGGAATGGCGGATCTCAAAAGGCATCTCTTCTGAACATTTCCTGTCATTGTAATAATGAAAATATATTTTCAGATCGATTCCATCTCTAATAGACGGCTTAAAACCATCTCAAAGAAAGATTCTCTGGACACTTCTCAAAATGGATGAAACTACCGAAATGAAAGTTTCTCAGCTGGCTGGAGCTGTTGCACATCGTCAATCGTACCATCATGGGGAAGAATCTCTAGTAAGAACAATTGTTCGAATGGGTCAAACATTTTGTGGTGCATCGAATATGCCTCTTCTCCAACCAATCGGTCAATTTGGAACCAGACACGAAGGTGGAAACGATGCGGCTTCTGCTAGATACATTTTCACTTCACTAGCGTATGTTGATATACAGTGCGCGTCATAATGATAACACCACCCCACTTTTTGAGGTTTTCAGAAAAACGAAACAATTTAGAGAAAAACGGCAAATGCCATTCGATTCAGCATCCCAAAAAACCTATATGTCCCCAGAATCAAGTACCAGTCAAGTGTTTTAGGACTACAGTAAAAAAAATTTTCACTGCGCACCGCGTCATAATAATAGCGCCACCCTGGAAAATGAAAAATCTCAAGTTTTTTAGAAAACAAAATTTAGAATGATTTGTTGTAATTTGTTAAAATAGTCTTAAAACCGTTTATTTGGAGAGTCTATACAAAAATTGATGTCTCTATTCAAGTTTTAGAAAAATTATTTTCAGCCTTTTTTGTCATTTTTAGCGTTTTTGGAATAAATTTTGAATAACCTTGCTCCTGGGTGAACTTTTGAGCTGAAATTGATAGGAAACATCTTAAGTGTGTTCATGATCCTGTTACAATTGTTCAAGTCACTCATGAGCTCTGGTAGCTCATGACTGAACTCGAGTTTTGAAAAGAAAAAAATATTCCACAGTGAAAATTTTTCAAATGTGTATAAAATGTTCGGAAGATGTTCTATGTTATCAAAATTGCCTTCGAAGTCATGATTCTGTACGGAAAAAAAAATGATATTTACATATAAAATCCAATTTTTAAAAGAAAATCAGATTCACCGGATTTCAAGGTTCGTTTTCGAAATTTCAGTTTTGCTTGAATTAGAAACGACGGCTCAGAATAGCATGAAAACAACTAGTAGACACTCCAGACTATTGCAAAGTTATTTTCTATCAATTTCAACTTAGAAGTTTACCCAGGACCAAAGTCATTCACGATTTATTCCAAAAACCATAAAAATGACAAAAATGTCTGAATTTTTTTTTCTTAAGGTTGAATAGAGACATCAATTTTTGTGTAGACTGTCAAAATAGACTGTTTTACGACTATTTTAACGAATTCCAACAAATCCTTCCCAATTTTGTTCCCTAAAAACTTGAGATTTTTCATTTTCCAGGGTGGTGTTATGACTTTTCCAGGGTGGTGTTATGACATTATGACGCGGTGCGCAGAGAGACTTTTGGTTACTGTAGTCCTAAAACACTTGACTGGTACTTGATTCTGGGGAAAAATAGGTTTTTTGGGACTCTGAATCGAATGGCATTAGCCGCTTTTCTCTAAATTGTTTAGTTATTCTGAAAGTCTCAAAAAGTGGGGTGGTGCTATCATTATGCCTCGCACTGTAGTTATCATCATTTTGAATATATGGATTCAATTTTTAGCCCCACTACTCGTCTCCTATTTCCAATTGCTGATGATGATCTACTCGAGAAGAAGGTTGAAGAAGGAATCACTGTAGAACCCAATACGTAAATTCATGAAAATTATTTTCCTTTGTTTTTAACCCCTAACTTTTCTCAGTTTGTGCCCAATCATCCCATTGATTCTTGTAAATGGAACAGAAGGAATCGGAACAGGATGGTCGACAAAGGTCGCAAATCGGAACCCGGTTGATGTGATTGACATGATTCGACGGAAAATTGATTTAAGTTCATTAGTAGTAAACGAAATTCCACCGTTTTACGAAGACTACAAGGGAAAAATTGAAATAGTCACACCGACGAAATTTATTAGTACTGGAAAGATAAAGGTGAACATTTTAATTTATAGATTCTCCTAATTAAACAAATTTAGATATCACGACCAGAACGAAAAAATGCTTCAACATTCTCAGTCGAAATTAGCGAACTTCCAATTGGAGTATGGACTTCGAAGTATAAAGAAAAACTTTCAAATATACTGGAAAAACTTCCAATCACTGAATTTTCCGAAAGACATACTGAGAAACAAGTTAATTTTCGATTGATCTTTGATAGGAAGAAAGCTGCAAGATTCTTACAAAAAAGCAATTCGGATCTTCTAAACTACTTTAAACTTCGAACAAGTATCACTGAAAATCGAGTTCTATTCGATAGAAATGGACAATTAAAAGAGTTTGGAAATGTCTCAGAAATTGCGAACGAGTTTTTTGAAATTCGAAAGGATCTGTATCAAAAAAGATTAGAAATTCAAAAGAGAGAGTGTGAAGCTAAATTAAAATATGTGAATAATCAGGTACACCTTTATTACTATGTTAAAAATAACTAAACTTCGTTTTAGATGAATTTCATTGAATTAGTAACAAATGGAACATTCGAGTTAAAGTCAATGGATCGAGAAAGTTTAGAACTAAAGTTAGAAGAAATTGGGTTTGAAGTTGATTCAATGAAAACGGAAAATTCGAAAAAGGTATTTTATTGGAATAAAGAATAGATCAATACAAATTAAAAGGAAAGCTTAATACGTTTTTTACAGTCTAACTATGGATACCTACTCGAAATGCCACTCTCTCGACTGACTCTTGATGAGATGAATAGGTTAAAAGAGAGAAAATCTCGAAGGAATTTGGAGCTAAAAGCAGCAGAATCAGCAGATTGGAAATCCACGTGGCATTCTGAACTGGATAAATTGGAAGAATCAATCAAGAAGACTAGAAAAGAATATCTTGCGTCTTAATTGTGAATTTTGAAAGAGAATTAATTGAATAAATTTTTCGTCAAAGTGGTCTGACACATTAATCTACGGATCGGGGTTTTTTGAATCTATAAGGAAGAATGAGGAGTGAAATATCTTATATCTACTTTCCATTGACTGTGGACTCGGAATTCCAGATTACGAATTCCGGATTTAAATTATGAGATTTGTTTGAAGACTGTTTATCTTTTTTGAATGTTCCATGAAAAACTGAATCCATCATTGGAATATTGTCCTATTTTCTGTATATAATTTTAAAACCAAAGACTTTTTTATTTACGACAATTTATTCAAAAAAGCGGAACCTAGAGACAGGAGAAAATATAAATAGAAAATATAGAAGAACATAAAAAAATTAAACCTACAATTGTTTTTCGCGTTTTTGACATCTGTACTTCTCGATAGCAGCAGTTGGACGATTCTTCTTGTACTTCCGACGGTAGGTGAAACAAGCATTGCAAAGCATTCCTTCTCTTGATGTTACATTTCTCCATTGGCACGATTCAGTGATGAAGCAATTGGAACATTGTTTTGTGTATGTCTTTGCGATCCTGGGAGTCGTCGATCCTGTTGGCGAGAGTGTGAAAGCTGGAGTTGGCATTGTTGGCGAATTGGCAGAAAATGGAGTGAATCCAGTTGAGCTAGAACTTGGGGAACTTGAAATTGACGACGAAGAAACGTTGAAGTTGTTTTGAAATCCGTTCCATGATAAATCCATCGACGTTTGAGAAGTTGCAGTTGGCGAAGGCACGACTGTTGCCGTTGAAGTATTGGAATTTAAACATTGAAGAAAAGAAGCGTAGTAGTTTGCGTAGTAGTTTGAATAATAGGAATAGTCAGAATAGTTTGTGCTTTGAGTATCCAGATATGTCGTGGATCTATTGACAACTCCTGAATCCCATGAAGAGGTACTGGGAACGGAAGAAGTGTCCAGGAAACTGGCGGTAGAGAAAGTTGGAAATTGGAAATTCATTGCGAGAGAAATCAGTAAGACTGAGTATTGAGTATGAGACAGTGGGACCTTATATAGGCAGTGTAAGCCCCGCCCCCTTTCAGAAAATGATGATAATGATAAAACGCCTGCCCGTTTATTGGGGGGCCTTCAGATATCAATAGCTGTAAATGGGTTTTTGTCAGCATCGATTCACAGATAATGGAAGATACACATGTAGTATGACACTTACTGAATGATGACAATTCTGTGAGATTCAGAGACATACGTTTATTAGATCCTCGTAATAAATTTGGAATTTCAAAAATAGAAATCTTTAACTCCAGAGATGTCCGGAATAACCTTTTCGAAAAACAGAATCTGAAATTCATAATCAAAAATTCAGAATGAAGAATTCAGAATACGGAATCCAGAATGCGGAATCTGGAATTCGGAATCTGGAATGCGGAATATGGAATTCGAAATTCGGACAAAAAATATCCCACGGAATATGACAACGGGCCGGGCCTGGCTTTTTTATAATTTCCAAGGCCCGGTCCGGGTTTTAAGAAAAAAATTTTCCTGTCTCATCAAACAATTTTTCGAAATCACTAGAAAAAATGGACGGTTTTTCTGACAAAAAAATTTCCAAGATAAGTGCCATATAAAATATGTTTCCCAAAAAAACTCGAAAAAATTTCTGGAATTTCAAAAAAGAATTTCGAATTTGGAAAACCCGGCCTTGGAAATCTTCGGCCCGGCCAGGCCCGCGGGCCGGGCCCTGATTTGCAAGTATGGAATACGGACTTGTCCGGTAACCCCTCACAATCTATGAAAAGTGAATCGTCTTCATTTTTACCGTTCTAAGTTCTCTTTGATTAAGGGCAACACCTTCTTTTCAAGTCTTTTTGATTTGTTCTTCCAGTTAAACCATCTCAGAATGTCTCTGGATTTCTAAAACTTAACGAATTCCGGATTCCATATTTCGGATTTCAAAAACCAGATTCCGCATTCTGAATGTTGGATTATGAATTCCAGATTCTGTTTTTTTGAAAAGGTTATTCCGGATATCTCTGGAGTTAAAGATTTCCATTTTTGAAATTCCAAATTTATTACGAGGATCTAATAAACGTATGTCTCTGAATCTCACAGAATTGTCATCATTCAGTAAGTGTCATACTACATGTGTATCTTCCATTATCTGTGAATCGATGCTGACAAAAACCCATTTACAGCTATTGATATCTGAAGGCCCCCCAATAAACGGGCAGGCGTTTTATCATTATCATCATTTTCTAAAAGGGGGCGGGGCTTACACTGCCTATATAAGGTCCCACTGTCTCATACTCAATACTCAGTCTTACTGATTTCTCTCGCAATGGATTTCCAATTTCCAACTGTCTCTACCGCCAGTTTCCTGGACACTTCTTCCGTTCCCAGTACCTCTTCATGGGATTCAGGAGTTGTCAATAGATCCACGACATATCTGGATACTCAAAGCATAAACTATTCTGACTATTCCTATTCTTCAAACTACTACGCAAACTACTACGCTTCTTTTCTTCAATGTTTAAATTCAAATACTTCAACGGCAACAGTCGTGCCTTCGCCAACTGCAACTTCTCAAACGTCGATGGATTTATCATGGAACGGATTTCAAAACAACTTCAACGTTTCTTCGTCGTCAATTTCAAGTTCCCCAAGTTCTAGCTCAACTGGATTCACTCCATTTTCTGCCAATTCGCCAACAATGCCAACTCCAGCTTCCACACTCTCGCCAACAGGATCGACGACTCCCAGGAACGCTAAGACATACACAAAACAATGTTCCAATTGCTTCATCACTGAATCGTGCCAATGGAGAAATGTAACATCAAGAGAAGGAATGCTTTGCAATGCTTGTTTCACCTACCGTCGGAAGTACAAGAAGAATCGTCCAACTGCTGCTATCGAGAAGTACAGATGTCAAAAACGCGAAAAACAATTGTAGGTTTAATTTTTTATGTTCTTCTATATTTCCTATTTATATTTTCTGTCTCTAGGTTCCGCTTTTTTTTGAATAAATTTTCATAAATAAAAAAGTATTTGGTTTAAAAATTATATACGGAAAAATGGGACAATGTTTAATTCATTGTCAGATGCAGTTTTTATGGAACATTCGGAAAAGAAAAACATTCTGAGATAAATCTCATTAACGGGAGTACCGTTTTTAAACCATTTTCTTCAAGACAATTTTTGGTTTTTGAGAATTAGAAGAGTTAAGGCTGATGAAAACTTTTGGATATTTTTTGATTTAAATCATCATTGTATCTATAGATGTTCCTAGAGGAATTTTACGACCCGGAAAACCTTTCTTGTCAGAGAGAAATATTTTTGAGAATATATTTGAAAAGTCTATGATCTCAGCTTTCGACGGATGTATGTAAGCCTCATGTCAAAGTTCCATACCCCAGTTACAACAGTTTGTAGTGAGTTGAATGTGTATACTTTTGATTGTTAAAGATGCAAAAATATGTTTATTACAGAAAAAAAAAACAGTTTCACTTCTTAATAGGCGGAGTCGTCATTGAAACCAATGTTTCCGAGTTTTGTTTTGCTGGAATAACAGTTGGAGGTGTTCCAACGATGGTCGAAGTCATGGTACTGCGTGGAACAAAAGATTCAATAGAAGGTGTCCGTTGAAGTGGATTCTCGGAATTCGAGAACGTTGGAGGAGTTCTTCCGGCTTCTGAAAATTAAAATTTATTATTATATTTTGCTATTAATTATTTACCTAGCATGTTATAATTGTTCATTTCACTTCGCTGCGAGGAGATCACATACGTCGAATAATCACTTCCAAGTGAGGATTCTGGCACTTTTTCCGCACTAAAAATGCATTTTTCCGTTGGAAGAGAACTAGGAGGCTCTGAATGTTTTTTTTAATTTTCTTAAATTAAAAATCTATGATTTACTGGGTATCTCAACTGAAACTTCTCCATTCGCTGTCTTCGGACTTTCTACTTTCGCCGCTCCAATCGGTTTCAAATCCGTCAAACTTTTCTTTGACAACTCTTCAGTGCTTGGTTCTTTTGATGTTTTTTTAGGAGCAGCAACGTCTTTTGGTTCTTTTTCCAGAACAATCACAGCTGCTGGTGCTTTAGTTTCATCATTCTTTTTTACCAAGTACCCTTCCACTTTCGATGAAGTTTCCGTTTTTTCCGTCTGTAAAAATAAAATAAAAAATTAACTTTTTTGTGTTATCACTCACATTTTCGGATGACTTGTCAGATTTGGGATCAATTTCCCGAACACTTCCTGTCATACTGCTAACTCCAGAACTTTTCTGACTGTTGCTTGCCGCCAATCGATCTCTATACATTTTTTCCTCTTCAATTTTAATATCCTCGTCATGCTTCTGATTCTTCTGACGTTGTGATTTCAAGTACATCACAATCATGTAAAAAGAGACAATTAGAATGATTGCAATCAAGAAAAGTCCGAAGCTCCATGCGATCCAATTCATTGGACTTTTTTCTGTGGTTCAGAACATTTATTTTTTCTGGTATCCGTTAAAAGTACCTGCGTTTCCATACATTTCTGTATACCAATAATCGAGTGGATTTTGTTTATTAAATCGATGAAACTCGGTTGATAGTTTTATTCAATTCATTAATAAATTTTTAAAATTGACCCTTTTTTATAACTTGTCTCGAACACGTAATTTCAACATTTATTAATTCAAAATTAGCATCAAAATTGAAAAAAAAACATAAAATGAAAAAAGGAAGAGATTTTGCAAATGGATTCCCGTTGAAATGGGTTTGCCACGTGGAATAGAATACTGTAGTTGGGAGGAATGATTTCTAGCATTGGGAACTAAATGAATGGGGGTGGGGGATACGGTAACAAATATATACAGGAATTGAATTTTTTCGAAGAACCCGAAAATTCAGCAAAAACCGTTGATCAACTTCTTGTTTCAGTCAAATTTATGCCATGAGCCGTGTAGATTTCCATTCGTTCTTCCACTTTTTGTTCAACTGAAAATAACAGAAATCGATTTTCCCCTAATCCTGGATTAGAATCCCTTAGCAAAACTGAAATTCCTATGTTCTGCAAAATTTCTTGCAACAAAAGGAACCCATAATTTCCTATAAAATCCACATTTTTCAAATCCCTTCCTTCTCTTTTTTTTCCGTTCTCAAGAACCCCGTTTTTTTCTACTTGACAGAGCATTTTAGATGCGATCTTTCTACATCATAAAGAATCGGGGTAGTTATGAGACGGAAATTTGCCTTTTATTAGCATTCGCCACTTGAGTTTTGAGTCTTTACTAAAGAATCACGTCATCTGATATTCAGAAGTACTCTCTTGTGAAATGAGATACAACTACCCACCCATCAAATCAATTTTTCGCCCAAGTGCCAAAGAAAAAGCGACGAGAGCCAACGAGAGAAGTGTCATTGCAATGGCGACGAATCCGACGACACGTTTCACACGCTTCTGATTGTGATCCTGGAAATAGAATCTTTTTTTTGGGTCATTCGGAAAAAAATGCATCGGGGGTGGAAGTTTTATTTTAGAATGATGATCTTTTTGGTTTTTGATTCCGCCCTCTTCTCAGGGTGTGGAATAATCTTTCTGGTGGGAACATTCTAATAAAACACCACACCTAACTTTTAACTGAGCTAGTTTATCTCGGACTTTTATATATATCTGAAAGTAGTCAACTAATAAAAATTTAATTATAATATCAAAAATATTTTGCTAGTAAACCACTTTTATTAAAGTACCTCTCAACAAATGTCGGCTACACTTTCAAATGGATTAAAAGAATGTCCCGGCTCGGGACTCAAAAATAATACCCGACTCTTTTTGATTTTGGTCTACCCCAATTTATCATTTCTTAAGGTCGAATTTCCTCAAATCTCACACGATTCAGGCTCCTCAAATGGCACAAGATTAATCCCAACTATGAATCATCCCAATTTCCGCTTGATTCTCAAAATAAAAATTTTCCAAGTCAAAACGAATCAACGCCCACATTTATATCTCATTTCCGATGTCTCCCATCTAGTAATTTCCTAATATATCCTGTTACAGCTTTCCAAAAATTAAAAGATAAATGCCAACATATTCTTATTCTTCTTTTCCCCTTGACGCAAAATATCAAAATATCTTCGAACCTGTTGAAATTAGGTGTAATACAAAGAAGATACTTCCTGATGAGTTTTGTTTTTTTGTTCTCTTTTTTTTGCTTCCGTGTGAGTTCTCATAATAGAATATCAAATCGTTTAGTGACTTGTTGTTGTGACATCCGTTCGAGAGGTCTCTTTGTTCATCTCGTTTTTCGGTTTTTCTCTGTGTCTCCACCATTTTCCTTACTATTTCTCTTACATCAGAAAGAGCATGTAAAAAGAAAAATAAAGAGATGACATGAAATCAGATGTAAGGGAATGGGAGGAATGAAGGGTGGACCAGCAGAAAAAAAAACATGTCTTGGAAAAAAAACTTTGGAAAGCAAACGAAAAAGAAATCAAACGTCGGCCAAAATTTCGCAGAATTATTCATGAATTAACGACATCGACGTCTCCGGAAATCCCTGAAGTCGTCTTCGTCATATTTTGAAGAAGATGCGAATGGGAAAGTTTATATTTAAATTTATGGACACACGACATCTTTGAGCAAAGACTTTTCTCGAAAAAGAAAAAACAAAAAGTTTAAACTTTCGGACAACGGGATACTGTATTTCAACGTTTTCATCCAAAATCAACTTATCATCATTCTTATAATAAATAAATGAAGTTGCGTCTCTTTCTCTATGGCTTTGTCCGCACATTTTGAAAAGCTTGAAATTTAAATATAATTTGACGTGACCTTAAAAAAAAGAAAGAGGAGCGAAGCGACGATAATGCAAAAAATAGGTCACATCGCGCCGAAGGCCCACCAGCCAACTGTTTGAAGCGCCGGAGGCGCGGCAGACATGCTGGTCAGAATTAACAGTTGAATACCGAAATTCCGACAACACCCGAAGTTCCTTAAAAGTAAAAAAAGTTCAAAAAGTTTTCATACACTGTCTACAATTCTGTTGAACTTTTTCTCTATTATTATTCCGGTCCAAAAAATCGACCTTCTTCGGGCACGGCCACCGAAGGTCACAACGACCACTACCGTAGCCTTGAAAATTATTTTCTGGATTTATTTTCTCATATTTTTTGTAGCAGAATAATAACAGGAAACTTTCATAGAAAGAACCCTCCAAATTCAAACCTTCAGAATTAAAATTATTAAAATTTCCAGAATTTTTCACTCCGCGACTAATAGACTTCAAAAACAGAGATTTTTTCTTTCCCTAATAATTCAGAATTCCCAACTAAATGTGCATCTGACGTAGACACTTTTTCCTACTCTTTGAACCTTCAATTCATCTCTTCTCCCTCTAAAAAAAGACTTTGTCAGACCAATTCAATTAGCATCTCATCGCTTTTTGGTTTCCGATCTTCTTTTCTCTTCTTCTCATGAGCATAATTCGGAAAAAGACACAAGACCTTTTTTCTTTCCCTCCTGACAAAGAAGAAGAAGCTTTTCTCCTGCCAAGTGCATCATTTTTTCGCTGCTCTCAGTCATTTGATACGGAGAAACAAAAACTAGTGAAGAGACTCTTTTTCCCCCTACTTGCAAATTTATATATGTGTATGAGCATGTATTCTTGTATTCTTCGCTTGGAGAATACAAGAATACATACTCATACACTTTTATGTGTGAAGATGAGAATATGAAGTTGTGAGAGACATTGCAGTTTGCATAAAAAAGTTTTTCGAAAGTCACGAATCTTTCGGGAGTCGTTGTGTTAGGACATGGATGGAAAATCAGTTATATGGTCAGGAAATGGGAAATTTTTAGCTCAATCAGTTGACTATGGAAGCGAAAATGAGCAAATTCCCATAAACAGTTCCCATTAACCGTATTTCCGCTAATAGAATCCCACCAAAACCGTCCACTTTGAGCTCAATTGTCTTGATTCCTGATAAAGATATCAAAGTTTTGTCAAGTGATACATTTTTATCGTAATATCACCAATATTTTATCACTTGGCAAAATTTTGATATATGTAGCAGGAATCGAGATAGTTGAGCTCAAAGTTGACAGTGTTTTTGGGCTTCTGTTATAGGAAATACTGTGATTGGTCTCAATGGTTGTTGAAGACTTCCAGTCTGCTATTTTAGCGAGTTCAGAAGTTCATTATTTTTCAAAATAAGTGATTAATCATTTTGGGAGTTCCTCGTTTCCAATACTTTTTCCTTTTGGGAATCTTGACTCACTCGAAAACCTTAAGACTTCGAAAAAGTGCATTTCTCAATCAAAGATCGAGGAAAAAAAAGAGGATGAAAGTTATAGAAGAAGGAAGCGTTCCGGATTTCCCATTTTTCGGGAAGTCCATACATCAAATGCGTTTTTTTCTATGTAGAAGGATCAGAAATCCATAGAAATTCGTTGTGGAGAGAAGTTTAAAATTATAGAAAACTTTAAGTTTTTTAAAGATGATAGTTTAAAAAATTCAAAATTTTTTACCTATTTTTGATGAGTTTCTCAAGTTCTGTTATGAAACCTTCAAGAATTTTCTAATATTCTAAAACAGGTCTTATAGGACTCCGCCAAACTCACCTTCAATTGTTGAATTTCAATATCAGTGAGTTCATATTCAGCTCCAGCAGGTTGAAGTGCTTCGAAATTAGTTGTCTTCTGTATATTCATCGTTCTCTGAAATAATTTAAAACCCTAGGATTCGTAGAAAAGAATTCCAGGATGAAAAGAAGGATGAAAAAGAAAGGAATACATATTCGTCGCAAAAAAATCTGATATCTGTTGGTGACCGACGACAAATAAGCTCACTCTTTTCTCCTAAAGAGTCAGAAAGGGAGAAAAAGAGAAAAGGAGAAAAAAGAGGAAGAGCAAAACAAGCGAGACAAAGTGGGCGGAGCCTCCTCTCCACTTCAGAAGACCAGGAGAAGAGACACGGAAACGAGAAAAAAGAAGAAGAAGGGGAAGAAAGTGACTGGTAGGAGAAAAAAGAAGACGGAGAAGAAGAAGATGACTCTCTTTTTCCCTCTATACTCCTCTGTGCTCTTTTGGTTCGTTATCATCTTCACTTCTTCTGCCAACATCATCATCATCATCAACTTGAAGAGCAGGATGTCGCCGTGGAACGAGAAAAGAGAAAGAGACATAGAGTGGATTTGTGACGTAGTTGACATCTCATATGGAAGATGCATCCACACAAAAAAGGATGCTCATCTTGAATATGCATTGTTGTATTCTCATCTTCTACTTTGTTTCCTAACTTCTTCGCTAAAAGAAGACGTCAATGGGTTGACACGCATTAAATGAGAAATGAGATTGATGATTCCGAAGACAGTCTTCTGAATGGTACTCAAGGGAAACGAGCAAACACATTTAGATCCGCATATATCTCAATGGGGATTTATTGTCTCAGATATTGGGTTTTTTGAAAGAATCTATTTTAGAAGAAAGACGAATATCCAGTTATCTGAATTCTGGATTTTCAGGCAAATAGAAGAACAAAATTTTCAGATTCAGATTTGAGAATGACAACTACCCTTATGAAAAATTCAACAAAAGGCCTCGTGAGAAAGTTTTGGGAGGGGAAATCTGCAAAAAAAAAGAGATGAGATATTCTAAAATCAATTTGTGGCTGCTTAAGAAATCTCTAGTGTTAACATTTCCGTTTCAGCGCCAAAAATCAGTTTTTCAGTACGAAATCGGAAAATTTCGAATGCGATGATCTCCACTCCAGGGAGATTTCAGAACTTGATTTTTTTTCTTGTTATACTTGAAATTATGTGTAATTTTTATGTTCCAACATTTTTCTTCAAAAGTTACCTCCTACAGTAATCCTCGAGAACCTCCTACAGTAGTCCTCTGAATCCTAATGTTTTTTCCTACATATAGGCTATTGTAATTCTCATTTTCAAATATTTTCCCTCCCTACAGCAACCCATCTGAAAAAACGTTGAACCCCTAAATCTTTTCCGCTTAATGTCCATTTTTCTAGATTTATTACTTTTTCTAAGCATAAACACAACAGCTAGACAAACTTTTTCCAGGAAAAAAACTATAATATGAAATTTGAATATGTGGTCCGGAACGAATATGCCGACGATATACTCAGAAAACAACGAAGCCTTATATAGGAAGTTACCGTAAGATTGAAAATAAATCTTTACGATGTTTTCGAATGTTCTAATACAAATTCGATTCACCTTTTCTAATGAAGAACAGAACACACTTTTAGAGCAAATGATAGTTTATTAGAAAATGAATTTTTTAAAAAGTGATTTAGAAAAGTTGATTGTATTAGAAAGAGAGAATTAAAAATCATGAAAGAGAATGAAGAGAGTTGAATACGTCGGAGAAGAAGACGAAGAAGAAGACGATGATGATGTTGGCGTTGAAGATTTTGAAGACTTGGATCGCTTGACAATTCTATATTTGGAGTAATCCGGCTTGGTTGACGTCTTCTTTGGAGCACCAGTGGATCCTATTGCAGCAGAAAACAATTCGTTGACTTCTTCTTGACTCTTCTGTTCCAGAACCATTTTTTGATTTTCAATGTGAGCAATGCAATCTCTCGATTGTGCCAATTTCCGTTGAGCATTGGCCATGTCCTGTCTTCTGATTTCAGCGAATTTCTGAGCCAATTTGTTGAGATGGTAGGTATACATACCCAATGGAGCAACGTGTTTTTTCCAGAACCTTCTCCGTGAGATTTTCTTCGAAGGCGCGAATTGGACAGTCAGCATATATCAACCGTTCAAGAGCGTAGGTTCTTCTGACTCCAATCACCAACATTTCGGTATACTTTGCAATGTATTGAGTAGCAGAGAGTTTATTTTCGATCCCCTTAATTCCACGGGATGGGATAGTGCAGGGTTGCGACCGGCCCGGCCCGGCCGGAAGCCCCGGCCAGCCCGGCCCGGCCGGTTCGGCCGGTTCGGCCCGTTCGAATTTAAGAAAAAACAGAAATTATTGAAGAATTATTTGAATTTATTTCTTAACAAGTAGCATAACAATGTAAAAACCGTATAAATGAACAAGGGGAAACAAAGAAATGGAAACCGGGGGAGAAAATTAAAGCTCATATCAACCAATCCAACAAAAAAGATAGAAAAGTAACATAAAATTAACTAGAAAAATCACTACAATTAGTGAGAGAATCAGTCGAGCCAGTGTGGAAATTTCGTGGCTATTTGCGAACCCAGAACGACCATCTCCGGGTTATTCGAATCTTTTTCTTTTCCAATGTCCGGGTTATTCGAATCTTTTTCTTTTCCAATACTCCTCAACCGATTCGTTCGTTGAAGGATCGTAGTACTCGGAGAGATATCTTGAGATTTCCGAAGAAGTGGATGTTGAAAAATCGGTTGATAAACGCAAAAAATCGTCGAAAAAAAAAACAAAACAAACCCCCGTAAATCGACACGGGCTGCTAAACAATGCGCGCCTATTTAAATATTTAAATGGCGACCAGAAATAATTATTTAAATGACGCGCGTTCAAATATTAATTAATTG